CTGAAGAAGACTCTTGAGAGTCTCTTGGACAGCAAGGAGACCAAACCAGTCAGTCCTAAATGAAATCAACCCTGAGTATTCATTGAAAGGACTGATGCTGAAGCTGAAGCTCCAACCCTTTGGCTATCTGATGCAAAGAACCGACTCACTGGAAAAGATCTTGATGCTAGGAAGGATTGAGGGCAGGAGGAGAAGAGGATGACTGAGGATGAGATGGTTGGATGGCTTCACTGACTCAGTGGTTATGAGATTGAGTAAATTCCAGGAGATAGTGAAGGATAGGGATGCCTGACATGCTGGTGTCAATAGGGTGACAAAGAGTCAGGCATGGGTTAACAATTGAACAATAACAACAAAGTTTTAACTTTCCAGTAAAAAAATTTGTCAAAATTATACATTTCTCTGCCCAACATTCTCTATGCCCTTCTCATGCCTGGTAACCACTGCTTATCCTGGGAAATAGCAAATGGAAATAAAATCACTGCTGGTTGTAGTGATATAAAAAGTATTTTCCATTTTATGTGCACTTTTAAACCCAGAGAAAATAAGAATAAATTTCTTTCTTTCTTTCTTTTTTTTTTTTTTTTGTGCATCAGTTTCTAAAATATAATCAGGAAGATGCTGGTAAATACTTAACTTTAGGCTGGCTTTCTCAAAAGTTTTAGACACTGGAATTCAGATTTGCTCACATTCTGAAGCTAGTCCTCAGTATCTTTTTTAAGCCTCTCTTGGCATCTCATTTTCACGCTCCATCTGAGATGACTTGGAAAACATGAGAAAATAACAACACCACTTCCACAAAACAACTGCCTGGACAGTGCATATTTCTCTATACACCATTTATGGAACTCTGTTTCTGGCAGAAATTTTATTTTAAGTGTCAATACTAAAAGATGATATTACTGGAGTTGGCTGCTTCAGTCTGTAAATATAGTCAGTACCTACTCAGAAACAGCTTTTAAAGCAAAACAATTGGAATAAGAAACATTCCTTGCTGTTATTTTTAAATCGCTATAAAGGAAAATAATTTTATCCTTGTGGAATTATTATCTTGCTATACATGAAGCTTAAAGTTCCTCTGTAAAAGGGCATCATGTGATTGTTCACAGTTACACAACCCAAAAGATTAAACTCAATAAGTGAACTCTTCTGTAATCCTCTCCTGCTAAATGAAAGTAAGACGAAGAAGGAGCTTCATAATGTAAACTGAGCCTGAGTTGCATTGCTAAAATTTTGAAGAAATCAAATTCATCTATGGAGATCAAGTTCTGGAATCATTCAAGATTCAAAAACTTTTGATTCATAAAAAAAAATCACGTTTTTGGTCTGGATAATTACCCTTCTGTTTGTATTTGCCTGTTCATTATGGAATTAAACAGGACAACACACACATAGTCATCACATCACTTATGAAAGGATGAGCAAAAGCCATTGAATCACTCAACTTCCTTTAAAAAATATAATGCAGGTATTAAAAAGTAATTCTGAAGAATTTAAAAGTACACTGGAAATGATTATGGTTATGGAAAATGTTGACAGGTTTCTCATTTTTATATCATTTATATGTATTTATAATAAGAGACTATTATATATACATAAAAAATTATGGGCTTCCCAGGTGTCACTAGTGGTAAAGAACCTACCTGCTAATGCAAGAGACTCAAGAAACACGAGTTCGATCTCTGGGTCAGGAAGATCCCCTGGAGGAGGGCATTCTTCAGTATCCTTGCCTGGAGAATTCCATGGGCAGAGGAGCCTTGCATTCTATGGTCATTAGGGTCACAAAGAGTCAGACATAACTGAATAGACTGCACAGTACTGCAGCACATAAAATCATATGTAAATATATATATAAACTTGCAGATATATTTATATAAGAATGTGTATATATATAACAGAAAGGGTATAAAGTGATAGAAGTTATCTCTAGGTAAGAGGATGGTGGGGATTTTCGTGTTAGCTTATAACATTCTCTACTCAAATTATTCTATATGTAATACAAAAAAAAATTCTAAGGTACCCAACATCAGGCCAAAATCATTTAACGTTAGAAGTAATGTTGCAAAAATACCTATATTTTAGCTAGTCATGCATATAGTGGACTCAATCAATACTGAATAAATAATTTTAAACATTGCCTGTCAATGCCGGATACTGCAGGTGATCCTCTTTAAGGTATTATCATGCAATAAACTGCTATAACCATTCTAATCCTCTCGAGAATTTTACCTTCATCAATCTCATTTTCAGTTTAAATTTTAACATCTTTTCACACATTTCTTCTGAAGCTTTAATCTCTGCAAAACCCAACTTTAAATTAGAAGGAAAAGATAGACGTGTAAGGAGTAGCAGCAATTGAATTTCATTTGGATCTTGATCCATGAACTGAAAACACATTTGTTTTTTTAGTCTTATGTCAGGTTGAAAAGAAAACAGTTCTGATTTTGGCTAAATGGAGATATTTTTGGTAACTCTACTTGGATCACATTGTAAAAACCTACTTAGAATTTTCACTTGGTTCCCACAAAATTAGCAGATATTCTTTGGGGCCATTGGCAAAATGGATCCAGTTTATAAAGTCATTGCTTTTGCCTGTCTCATATCTTCAGATAAATTTGAAAGCAAAAGTAATTCTCACTGTGTTGAAAACCTTTAATGGTATGGGTGAAATTTGTAATTTGAAATTCCTAAGTTCAAAGGACATTTATCTACAGCTTGATTTTACGCTTGAAACTTCCTATGCTTCATAGCAGTTTATAAAAAATTAGGAGGAAAAAACTTCTTCCTGTCATTTTTAGCAATTTTCCTTAGACTTGAGTAAAATATACAGAGACTTTTAAGGAAAAAAAAAAATGTGGTGCTCCTTTATGGTTTTCTCATTGCTTAAATTATAGCATTCACCCAGTATAAATTCTTTATTTATGCACTTATGCAAGTGTACTTCAGAGCCATTTGGAATAAATACAAATTCACAAAATAAATAAAGTCATTTAATGACATTAATATGAAGGATGATGTTATTTTATTGATTCTAAAGGAGGATGTTGAGTTTAAGGACAAATGTGGTAAAGCTGATATTTTTTTAATATTACTAATACACACAATGCCTATTTGCAAAGGATTATTATATGCTTTAAAATATTTTCAAAACTTTTAGGCTGTGTTGAAATAAGAAAAACAAAACTCATTTTTATCCAAAATTTTGCAAGAGAGTTATACTTGCACGAGAAGTTTAAAATATGGCACCAATGGTTTTGGTTAAACTAAAAGTTTAACATATTTTCTTTGGTTACTCTCTTGACTGGAATGAACTTTTAAATCTAAAAATTTGAACACTGAAATCAGATAAAAATATTTTAAAACATTTAATATCAGCATCTGGATGAAAATTAATATGATTTATAAAAATAAGCATCCTTTTAAATCTAACTAGAATATGAATGTATATTATTCACATTATATATATGAGTATATGTATTCTTGGGAATTCCCTTGTGGCTCAGCTGGTGAAGAATCCGCCTGCAATGAGGGAGACCTGGGTTTGATCCCTGGTATGGGAAGATCCCCTGGAGAAGGGAAATGCTACCCACTCCAGTATTCTGGCCTGGAGAATTCCATGGACTGTATAGTCCATGGGGTTGCAAAGAGTCAGACACAACTGAGTGACTTTCACTCATACATATTCTTAGAGATTGTATATAATGAAACATTTATATCATATGATATGCATGCATGCCCAGTCACTTCAGTTGTGTCTAACTCTTTGTGACCCCCATGGACTGCTGCACGCCAGGTTTCCCTGTCCTCCACTGTCTCCCAGAGTTTGCTCAAAATTGTGTCCATTGAGTCAGTGATGCTGTCTAACCATCTCATCCTCTGTGGCCCTCTTCTCCTTTTGCCTTCAATCTTTCCCAGCATCAGGGTCATCTTATGTTAATTCTTGGGCTCCAGTTTGAAAAACACTGATTTACAGTATCACAATAATAATTTCTCTTCTTAATGGTCCTCTAGCTACTATATGTATATGTCTCTCATTCCAGCTTGTATTATAGTCAATTAGACATGTGCTGAATTTCAAAATAAAATAGCAGAAATTCAAATCTTTTCTATATTATTACATTTCAAATATATAGTACAGATTAGAGCTAAACATTTGTGAATCTGAAGGAATAATCAGTTATTCTACCCATCATCTGGCTGAGTAAGATTGAATAACTCATTGAGAGTCAGTTTGTTAAAATGAGATACTCCATCATTCATATCTGAAATCGACCTGGTACGCCAAAACTGTCCTCTCCTTTCAAATTAAAAGATAGTGTTGTCTGTGTTTTGCTTTGTTTTTACTATATGTTTCACTGGATGCACATTATTGACTTCTATCTTCAGGGTATTTGAAAGGTTTTTGATTTAATATGTGTACATGCATGTGCATGCTCAGTCATGCCTGACTCTTTGCGTCACCATGGACTGATTTAATATATATCAGTTAATCTATTTTAATACAACAGTCACTTAAAATGAAGCAGTAAGTGTGCTTAAGAGTTGTGCATTTCATTTTATGAAATTTCATCCCCCAAAGTATGTGAAAGAAGTAAATGTTCAAAATCATTGTATTTATGCATGTTGATGGATTTGGGGCTATACTTCTGACTTCTGTAATGCATGGAGAAATAAGATGGATTGATGGGAGAGTTAATGAAAGGATAGATGTGCAGTCTATCTATGTGATAAATCAAAAGTCCTGTATAGTAAGATTGAAAGGGAAACAGTGGAATCTCTGAGATATATAGTATACATAGGTGCTCACCATACATTTTCCAAATTTTTCTGTTAAAAATATTTGTAAAAAAAATTGGTGAAAAAAAGGGAAAAGGGAAAAAAGAGCCATAAATTTTTGGTTTAACTTTTCTGATAAAAAAAAATTATAGTGCAATTATGACTTTTTAAGATGTGAGCATCCCTTTAATGGTATTTCTCTCTGTCTCTCTCTCTCCCTAAAGCTCCATTCCGACTTAGATAAAGGAGAGGGCACTGTAAAATACACCCTCTCGGGAGATGGCGCTGGCACTGTTTTTACCATTGATGAAACTACAGGGGACATTCATGCCATAAGGAGCCTGGATAGAGAGGAAAAACCTTTCTATACCCTTCGTGCTCAGGCTGTGGACATAGAAACCAGGAAGCCCCTGGAACCTGAATCAGAATTCATCATCAAAGTGCAGGATATTAATGATAATGAGCCGAAATTTTTGGATGGACCTTACATTGCTAGTGTTCCAGAAATGTCTCCTGTGGGTGAGTAAGCAAATAAAAATTCTGTCAGATGCTACAATGAGGCCTTTTCATCATGTATTTTTCTGCAGGTTGATGGAAATATCTTACTTGTAACCGAGAAGATTATTCTTGCACTATGTAGGATACAACTAATTTCATTTACTTTTTCAACATTTTTTTCTACTTAACTTTTTTCCTGTCTTGCTCCATTGTAAATGCTTGAAGATACATAAATATCTAGGATATATGACATTTATTCACTATTTTACAATCTTTATATTTCCCTGAATTCATAGAATGCCATTTTATTTTAAGGACATTGCTCACTTTGTACTGAAAGTGATTGCCATTACAAATTCAGCCTCCTACACAGTTCTGGAGGTAACACCAAATACCAAATAGTAATTCTTGGCCCAAAATAAATTACCCAAAACATGTATTGCATCTGGAAGGACTTCATAAAGGGATGTGTTTCATGCATTGGAGCTATCCAGAGATTTTGTAAAAAAGTATTGTGTCTATAATAACCCATAGCAGTTATTCCATCAAACCTGGAGACAAGTATCATTATATAGCCATTACTAGAATAAATTTACAGTTAGTGTATAGTATCATCATAATTCTTAGCAATTTAAATATAATATAATTTTTACTACCTAAATTCCCAAAGAATGTCATCACTGATTCAGTAGACACGAGTTTGAGCAAACTCTGGGAGACAGTGAAGGACAGGGAAGCCTGTGTACTCCAGTTCATGGGGGTCAGAAAAAGTTAGACACGACTTAGCAACTGAACAACAACAACTGAAATTCACAAAGTCCTATAATATGTATTTTAGGGCCAATGAGTTAAGGATTCCAGCTTTAATGACAATTTTTAATTATAACTTTTATTGCCCAGTCAACACAGCCAGTCCCTGAATTTTTTTCATAGTAACTTCTGGTTTCTAGCACATTTGTAAGATAAAGTTCCTCATCACTTCTAGTTTTCAACTGGAAATGCTCTATGTGAGCCACTGCTGATATTTCCTAAGTCTGACGTTTCTCAGAGGACTCCTGCTGCCCTCTCAACCACCCCAGACATGCAAAGAAGATTGTACAGGGTACCCTGAGGGCAGACACAGGTTAGTGGCTATAGGAGTTGTCACATGGATTTACCATAAATGCACTGGAACTTGTGTCTGTGACCTTATCAGGCATTCAAAGACCATTTTCTCTCCTTGACCTAAGAAATCAGCTGAGAGGAGTTCACTTTGATTTCAACTTTTGTGTGCATACTCAGAGCTACTTTTTTTTTTTTTAACTGCTTCTTTTATGCTATGCTATGATTGCTAGAGATTTAGAAATACAGTTTGGAAAATGTCTTATTAGTAAATAGTCTCTAAAAATATGGACAGCTGTTTATAAACTTGCACTTTGAAGAGAAGTACAAGTAGAAAAATGAAGGGTGGGGGGGAAAATGAAGATAGTACTTTGAGACAAAGTATGGCTTTTAAGAAGACAATGAAATCCAGTACATAAATACTTTAACCTGGTGTTTACTGCATGTAAATTGGAAGTATTTACATGAATTCATGACCTTTAGTTACTCTTTAGTACTGATACAGCATCCTTAAAGCAAACAGACACATCCCTCTGCAGTATTAGAAAATTCTGTTTTATTAGATAATCCACTAGATCTTTTGTTATGCCAATTAGGAGAAAGGTTAGGGTTGAAGAGCTGAACCTTTATATAAAGATTTATAAACATTCTTTATATAAAGAATTTTCAGCTAGTGCCTAAAGAGAGAAATAAATCTGGAAATTCAAGCGAAGGATAGGTGACTAAGAGAACGAAGTGGTCCACGTTTGGTACTGGGGAGAGACAGAGTTTGCTGCACTACCATGTGTTATCAGAAAGATCCATGGGAGAACAGGTTCTTTAAAATGCTTTGCCATATACTATAGCCAAAATTTCTCACTGGTTATTTAAGAGACTTCTGTAAATACCTAAACTGATTTTCAATGCATCCTCCTTTTAAAATATAGTTTTTTTTTTTAATAACAGAAGAGTATTTCTTTTGAATGTGGAACCATATCATATGCTATGAGTTCACCCAGGTATTCTTGGATTGCGTTTACATAATATGCCATTTTCAGATAAATACTAAGTATAAACACCATTTACATATTAAATACTAGAAATTGAAAAACTATCAGGCACTACTTTTGCCACCTCCCAGAATCCTACATATAGATATAACCAAAATGAACCTATTAAGAGAAGACCTGGTTAGTTTTGTGAGATTTGTTGTTTCAGCTTTTACTTGACCCAAAAAAATCCTGCTGCATCCTAACATAGTTCTGTCCCTAGAGCACCTGAAATCCACTCCCAAGCATACCTTCCTTAGCATCAGGAAATGGCTTACTGCTCTAATTGTCCCATGGTTTGTTTTTTTTTCTCCCCTCTGTTTTCTTTTGCTACATCCATTTTAGGAAATCCCTGCCTCTGTGTCATTTTCCTTGGAATATTAAAATAATATGCAGTCAAGACCAGATAGAACTGACTATGGTGTATTGGACAATGTAGCTATTGTGGAAAATCTCACAGTTGGCTTTGCATATCCATGCTTGAGGTGTTCTCAGGGAAACACTACCCTTTCCCAATAATCAAGAATGTTCCTATTTCATTCTTAATAAAAGACACGGCCAATTAAAAAATACATATCTAAGCAAATTGTATCTATGAGAGGTAATATATTCCTTCTCCATTCAGCCTCATCTGCTCAACTTCCATACATGGGAGCAAGCAGATTTCAAATTTCTTTAATCAGGGAATTTTGGCTTACTCTTCTATCTCTCAATATAATTTTTTGTTCTCAACAGATAGTAAAAAAATATTCAACTTAAATTAACATTCATTTTGGCTTCCCTAGTGGCTCAGAGGTAAAGAACCCACCTGCCAATACAGGAGACATGGGCTTGATCCCTGGGTTGGGAAGATCCCCCGGAGGAGGCCATGGTGATCCACTCTAGTATTCTTGCCTGGAAAACCTGGAGTTCCTCTGTTCATGGAAAGAGTCGCAAAGAGTAGGACATGACTGAAAGATTGGATAACAAAAATATAGCTTAATTGTGATATAAAAGGTCAAGAAAAAAATCTATTAGGCAAATGTCAATTTAGCAATAATGAATTTTACATCTGAAAATATGATGAACAATTAAACCTGGAATCAAAGTTAACAAATGTGAAAAGTGTAAAACTCATAACTCTACAAAGGGAGGATAATGGTGAGCAGGATGGTAGAAATTTTTGAGGTAAATTGGTATATAAGACTTTTAAGACTATGGAAATATTTAGTTCCCCAAAGTTGAAGAAAATTCTAGTGAATCTATGAATTGTTTAAGAGAAAGGTCACTTTGTCACTAACTTGTGCTACATCTAATATGCTATGGAAATAATATTCACAGATAAAGTGCCTTTACTCTGACCGAAGGAAATTACTTTATGATCCAGATATTCCCCAACTCAAAGTTTTTCCTTGGAGACAAATTTGGATGTTATGAATGTGGTCTTAATTCTGTAAGATCATTGGAGTAACAATGAATTACAGTAATGTGCCCTCTTTAATATCTGATGATTTTGCATCAGTAGGGTGTGCAGTTTCAGTTATTTTTTCTAGAGTGCTGACAGATTTAAGATTTATAAATCCATATCTATACCTGTATTGTCTTCTTCAGCCTGAGCTCAGCCATTTTTAAGCCTCTGAGTGGGTTATTCGTAACCAGGTCCCTATGGCACATGTCATAGATGTTAATTGGGAATAATAATTTATGAAGTAAGACCTACCATTTCCTGAGCAAATAGTTAGGGGCCAGGTGAACTAATGGAGATTTGCATTTCCTGTTTTCCTTAACCATTATCATAATTACATGCAGTATCATTTACTATTTCATCTTTATTTTTCTATGAAAACTCTTATGAATCAGAAAATAGGAATGACTCCTGGGTTCTTTATAACAAAGTTAGTGCAATCAATTATATCCTTTTTCTAGGGTTAGTGGTTTCTAAAATTTATTTAGAAGCTTTAAATTTAGTTTTTAATCTCAGCTGTGCTTGTATAGACTTTAGTATGAATATTATATTACTGTATTATTTTATATTTAGAGGGTTGTGTCCCATGCATCAGAAAAAAATCAGGGGAATAAGTATCTCTTATTCACTGTTTTAAAAATGTTTAGAAAGAATTAAGTAAAGTAGTGCACATCTCAAGGAATTACACTGCTGGCTTCACAAAAATTAAGTAAGTAACATGCACCCCCTTGGATTTTTTTTTAATGAATTGCATTCTGTTTTACATGATGTTTGGGGATAAATTCCAGGATGGAAATATTGGTGGAGTTTTTGGTAGGTTATTCAGTTCAGTCAGTTCAGTCGTTCAGTCCTGTCTGACTCTTTGCAACCCCAGCGACTGTAACACACCCGGCTAACCTGTCCATCATCAACTCCCAGAGCTTGCTCAAACTCATGTCCATCGAGTTGGTGATGCCACTCAACCATCTCATCCTCTGTCTTCCCCTTCTCCTCCCGCCTTCAATTTTTCCCAGCGACAGGGTCTTTTCAGTGAGTCAGTATTTTGCATCAGGTGACAAAAGTATTGAAGTTTCAACTTTAGCATCAGTCCTTCCAATGAATATTCAGGACTGATTTTCTTTAAAATTGACTGGTTTGATCTCCTTGCAATCCAAGGGACTCTCAAGAGTCTTCTCGAACACCACAGTTCAAAAGAATCAGTTCCTCAGTGTTCAGCCTTCGTTATGGTCCAACTCTGATATCCACACATGACTACTGGAGAAACCAAAGCTTTGACTAGACGGACCTTTGTGGGCAAAGTAACGTCTCTGCATTTTAACATGCTGTCTAGGTCGGTCGTTGCTTTTCTTCCAAGGAGCAACCATCTTTTAATTTCACGGCTGCAGTCACCATCTGCAGTGATTTTGGAGCCCCCCAAAATAAAGTCTGCCACTGTTTCCATTGTTTCC